ATATACATTCTGTTTAAGGCACACATCTGCCAGAAACAAAGTAGAATCTAGAGGAGTACAGCCTGGTAGAAAATAAATTTTCAAAAGGCAAAGATTTGCAATTTTGCAATTTGCATTCCACTTTTATGGATCATAGCGAACATAGGAAGTATGTGTATGCAGTAGTGCATTTTAGCTATAGTGTGCAGTTTGTGCAAGGGAATAAAGTGAGATAAAGCTGGAAAGATAATGTAGTGTCAGATTTATGGAGAGCCTTGAATGCTAAATTAAGTAGTATGACTTTTAATTCAAGAAAGAAAAATCTCAAGTAGTAGAATCAAATCTTCCCATGAGGAATATATATTTGGCAACTATGGAATAATACTGAGGTCAGAAAATAATTTGTGGGGCTATTGCAACAGTATAAGCCTGTGGTAATGAGGGTACTAGAGTAGAAATAATAGGAATAGAAAAGAGGAGGTGGAGGTGGCCAATAGGTGAAATGGAACATGAATCCATAACTTATTAACTGATGTAAGAGGAAAGCAGAGGGAAGAGTCCAAGATAGCCCCAAGGTTATAAACCTGGGAAGCAAAATGAAAGTTACTACAGACAGAAAAAGGGAAATCAGAAAGGGGTAGCAGACTTTGAGGGAAATATAATAATTATCCTCATAATTTAACTGCTTTTTCTCTGTTGTATCCCGTGCCCCTACTAGCCCCTAAACAAGTATTTCTTTATTTATTTAACTTTCTTACTGTTTGTTTCTTAATTCATTAGTTTGTTTATTTCTGTTGTCTCTCATGTTATAAGGTTAGCTTTCTCAGTTGTCTTTGTTCTCCAAAGGACAAAGAAATATATGAGTTGGATGGGAGGGGAGATGCTCAGGTAAATAGCTATGCTTATTAGGTTAGCACAAAAGTTAGAAATCACATGAATAGACAATGACTACAACAATGTAAATGGAAAGAACCACCACCACAAAACAATAAAAATTAAATGCTATAAAATGACAAAGAATGAGCTAGGCCCCAAAGAAGAAATGAGAACACCCTTTTCCCCACCCTTTGCAGAAGTGGGAAGTCCACAGATGTGGAACATTGCATATCATCAGATTTTTTTTTTATGTTTTCCTGACTTTTTTTCTTTTCTTTTTTCTTTAAAAAAATCTTTATTATATGGGACACAAAGACAAAAACGAAATCTTTCTTGCCCTCAAGGAGCTACTTTCTATGTACGAGAGAAAATGTATACATATAACAATATATAAGCTATGTACATATAAAATTAATACAAAGTCATTTGTGGGTTATTAGCAGCTAGAAGGATCAAGAAAAACCTCATGGTGGAGGTGATATTTGAACTGAGCTTTGAAGAATACTGGGGTTTCTGAGAGGCAGAGGTGAGGAGTTTGTACATTCCAAATATGGACTACAACCTGTGCAAAGAAAATATGAGTCCATCACCCATGAACCATGGGTTACATCTAATTTTAACATAGGTTCACTTCAAAAAAAAACTATTAATAATGTACTTTGTGCTTTAGGTACGAATCTACCAGAAACTGTCTTATTTAATTTAACATTTTTCTATATCTAAGAATTTTCTGTCTTACAGAGGAATGACCAATTGTGTTCCTTCTCCCTTCTCCTCCCTGCCCACCGCTGTCCCCACCGTGCCCTTTTATATGAACTTCTAAGCTCCAAGACAAAATGGAAGTAATGTCTCTAAGAATCTTGAACAAGGAAAAGGTACAATTTGGGGTTATGATTTCAGAACCGTAGTCACCACTCATTTCCTTCCCAAACTATTACTCCCTGGGATTTCAAGTGTTTCCTCCCAGCAATTAATATTGATCATTATCAACATGGTAAACTTTTCTGAATGCAAAAGGGTGAGTCATAGCATCTTGGCTTCCAGAGATGGTGAAAGAGTAGATATCCTTTAGATGGGACAATAGCCTAGTCACTTCAGTAAGTGGGGGCTTTGATCTTAACCAGACTGGAGTTAAGTTTGGTTATCACCCTTAATCTATTAAAATCAAAATTAGGTAATCTTCTTTAGGGTGGAATGGTGAGGGAGGGAGAAAAAAAAAGTTCACAGCAGAAAACAAAAGAAAATTTGGAAGCACAGAAAAGCAGGTAGCTTTGAAAATGATGCATAGTACTTATTATATAGTTGTTTTTTTTTTAAAGCAAACAGAAATGGAAATTCATGGTTTTATATTGAGTCCTCTTTTTATGTTGTGCTGGGTACATGGAAATGTTCTTTTTTATCTTTTTGTATGTAAGTTCATAATTAATTAAAAAGAGAACAAAACACTAAAAAATCAAATTTAAAGTTACTTCATAGATTTGTCTCTTCACATGAGGTACTCTCAAATTGTGGATTAACTTTGAGTTATTTATTTTCTGTTTTTGTTTTCATGCTTTCTGCTGCTTCTTTCAAAGCCTGTGTTTAGAGAAAAGTGACTTGGATTAATAAATGCAGTAATGTCATTTGTAGCCCTGTTTAAAATTATAGTTACATTTTTAAAGCCTTAAAGTCTTAGCTTTTGTTCTACCTACTTTCCTAAAGGGCAAAGTCTGGAAAGGGCTTTAGGATGGAGAAAATATTACATCTTAATATTTTCAGTTGAACTAAAAAGAAGGTTTTTAATGTGCTTCCACAGGGGAAACACCTTGTTGGAAGTGAGCTACCTTAGCCATTACTTTGCTGTATTGAATCAAACCTTTTTTCATAGTAAACAAACAGTAAACACAATTGAGATCTTATATTCTCTTCATCTTTCAGTCCATTGTATAATGCTAAAGATATGACTTTACATGGAATATGGTTTAAATCTACTAATTCCACTGTGATATTCTCATGGTTCATGTAGATTATTTTGATAAACATTTATATAGATAATGTGACAGAATTGTTCAGGAATCTGTTGACTAAGTGCTGCTGCCAATGAGCAATCAGTGTTAGTCAGTCAGTAAAAATTTATTAAATGTCTACTATCTGCCAGTCACTGTGCTAAATGCTGGGGATACAAAAAGAGACGAGACAATCCCTACCCTCAAGGAGCTCACAATCTAATGAAAAATAAGAGAAAACTGCAGGCTATTACACTCAGAGTACACTGAACAAGTACTTACCCATCAGTCAGTGAGCTCCAAGCATCAGTTTTAAGCTACATTTTGTGTTACATAAACAGGAAGGGTACAATGGAATTTCACAGAGCGATAGGGGAAGATAATGATTTGCACATCAGAGAACAGATAGTTGAAGTAGAAGATCAATATCATGTAAAACAGGAAAGAATCTGGTTAACACTGGAACGGTAGGTGACATCTCAAGCTCTGTTTTGCAGGCTTTAGCATGTTATGTGACGTGAAGAAAATTAAGCTAGAAATTCTCTTGTCGGAGAGACGGTAGACATATGAACCAGCTGTCATTCTTGTTTTCTTGGTTGCCTTTTGGGGGAAATAATAAGGTCATTTTTACTTGGTTTAGTCCAGCTGTTTTTTCCACCTTTGTTTTCTCTGATTCCATTTCTACTTCTTCAAGAAACAAACCTATAACTGTGATGTTAAAGTCCACTTACCTGGTTCCACTGACCTTGACAGTGAAAGAGTTCATGGTAAAAATTCTCATACTGTAGATCTTTTCCATCTTTCTTCTTCATTGTATATTTTAAAGTATCACAGCCTCAGGATGACTTTTTTAGCTTGACTAGGTCTCTTGTCCGGTTGTCTGAACTTTTTTTTCCTGCTGCCAAACATCATAGTGCCATGTGTACTCATGTATTATTCCCTATCACATTTTGAGGAGGAAGTAAAAGATTTGTTTTCTCCACATAATTACACTTTTGGTAGGCTTTCATTATCAGCAGCAGTTTTGAATCCCTTGAGGTTTGTTAAGACTAGCTATTGCAAGCTCAGGTAAGAGGTTTAGCCCTTTACAAAGAAAATTATATTGCTATTTACCCATTGGATTAGCTAGAGATTATTTACCACCCTGTTGAATTTGTTGGGGGGGGGTAATGAGGAGAAATATTTTTCTGGACTCTAATTTGCATGTCACCATGGAAGGAGACTGTACTTAAGGTGTTTTTTTGGGATTTAATTTGACTAGGTTGGGGAAGAGAAGGAAAAAGGCATATTAGATTTGGGTTTTCTTGGTTTGGGTTTGGGTGGTTTGGTTTTGTTTTGTATTTCTGAGACCAGAATTGAGAAAGTTGTACATATGTTTGGGGGAGATAGCAAAGACAGAGAATGGGGTTGTCTTTAGTGTTCTTGTTACTACCTGGAAGGATCATTTTTTTTTCTTTAAGAATAAAAATAAAATCTAAAGCTCTTTTTTGGCCCTCAGACAAGTTTGGGCTAAGTTACTAGGGGATCAAACAAATCAAATACCTAACCCATAGCAGTTTAAAGTATAGGATCTTTGTTCCTCAGCAACAAAATCTTGCTCTATACACATTTTAATTTTTTCAACAAAGTATGTTATTAGTAAGATAAATTTTTAATAGATGTGTTTATCACAGTATCCTTTTGACAATCCTTATGGACCTTTTGAAGGCTTTTTAAATTTTATTTTGTTTTTGTTTCTCGTAGACTGCCAAGGAGGAAATAGTCTTGGAATAATATCTTATTACTATTTTAAAAGGTCTATGATTTCATGGGTGTGTATATGCCCTCTCCTTTTGCCTTTCCCAATCCCTTCATGACTTAGCAGATTGATTCTTTTCACTTTCAGGTGCCATTTCTATTCAAGCAACAAGCAATAAAAGTTCTGTCTCAGGGTTTGTACGAGACACTTTTCCAACTCAGCAGAACCTGTTGAAGCTTGCCCTCTTCTGGCATAATTTTCAAAAAATAAAGACACAGGAGATACTTGATTCAAAGTTCTATTTGCTAACTATTGCACAACAGAAACAGATACCTTATCATTGCATAATTCTTACCTTTTTCTAAATTTCCTAAGTATTTCCTATTTACTAAGAGTTATCTGAAGGTGCACTTTCTTTTCAGTTAATGAAAAATTATCACAAATGGAGAGAGGAATGTCCAGAAATAACTGCAGATCTCCGCCCTAGAACTATCCTTGGCCTTTTGAATTCTGGTTACCACGGGGTCCTGAGATCCAGGGACCCAACTGGAAGTAGGGTTCTTATTTATAGAATTGGTAAGTAATAAAATAGTACTTTTTTTGCCTTGTGGTTCATCTACACTAACTTTTTACTGAAAGCTACTAGCCTTTAGTCTTAAGATGAAGACAAGGGTCCAGACATTCAGCGTGATTCTGGAAATTGGGAATGCAACACCTAGATATATGAAGCTGCTTTCATCATTATGCCAGTAGGTCAAGGACTTGTGATTTCAACTTTCAATATAACCTACCATCAGTAGTATCAACCTTAAGAAATATAGGTAGTAAGAGAAAAGAAGGAAAAAGTGAAAAGAGAAGAAGAAGGAGATTTAAAAGATCTAAAGGGAGAAGAGGAAGGAATAAGTGGGAGCAGACATCTGGAAGTTTGCAAGTAGTCAATAATGAGTCAAACAACAATAATAGAGTACTTAGAACATGATTTCTAGAGGCACAGCACAAAGTAGAGGACAGCTTTGGGAAGTGCATAGTTCATTGGTATAGGATGTAACCCATGTGAGTTAAACACACAGCAATTATGAGTGGCACTTTTATAGTCCTCACAATATACACCTCGGTTAAATCCCTCAAATTGTTTGGACTTCATTTCCCTCATTTGTAGTGGGAATAGTACTACATTTGGAGTCAGAGGACCTAAGCTCAAATCCTTGCAGTACCATTTACCACATTCTTGACCTTAGGCAACATATTTCACTTCTCTGGGCCTCAGTTTCCTCATCTGCAAAATGAAGTGTTAGAATAGATGGATTCCACAGTTCCTACCAGTTCTAAATCTATGATCTTATACTCTTTTTATATTTACTTCTGCTTTTTCCTTTTCTCTATTTCATTTTTTTCTTACTGCTTGTCTTTGCCATCTCTGTCTTTGTCTCTATGTTTCTTTCTCTCTCTCCCTCTCTCTCCCCTTCCTTTTCCCTTTCTCTTCCTGCTCCCTCATCCCCTCTATCTTTCTTTCTCCCCTTCTCCCCCTTTCTCTCTCTGCCCTACTGACAGTTCAAAGATCAAAATAAATTTATGTGAAAAACCCTTTTTGCTCCTGTGATGTTTCCTGTGCAGGTTGATACCCTATAACTGCCTTCCCCTTTCCTAATAGTTGTGCATAGCTGAAACCAAACTGGGAAGACATAGAACTTACCTTCACTTTGCTTGAGGCTCTGGCTGAGGACCTAACTCAGAGAATCCTGAAATTGGAAGGGAGTTTACCAATCACCTTTATAGTCCACATTTTACTCTAGTGTGTAAAAGACCTTCTACGACAGCCCTGAAAAGTAATCATCCAACTTCTACTTCAACACCACCAGTGACAAGGAACTTACTGTTTTGTGAAATAACACATCCCATTTTCAATGCTAATTATTAAGAAATTCTTTCTTATATTGAACAAAAATGTTCATTGTTGCAACTTCTACTCATTGCTCCTAGTTTTCCGTATGAAATCACACAGAAACAACCCATTTCCTTTCTTTTTTTTTTCTCCTCTGGTAAAAGCACTTCAAATACTTGAAAGGAGCTATCATGTGCCTCCGAGTATTTTCTTCTTCTCTGGGTTAAATGCCCTTAATTTGTTTAACCCATTCTTAAATGACAAGGCTTCAACTTGCTTCACCATATGACAAGGCTTCAACTTGCCTCACCATCATGGCCACCATCTTCTAAAGCATTGCAGTTTATTGATTCATTTCTTGGTGTCTAAAACTGAGCACAATATTCCAGGTATCTGATCCTCATGGGGTACAGTGGGACTGTTAATGTAGCCCAAGATTCCATCAGCTTTTTAGGCAATCACATCATATGGTTAACTCATATGAGCTGATAATTCAATACCATCCCCACGTGCAATGATATCTAGCCACTTCACCTCCCCTTCTATACCTGTACCCCATCCACTTTCTTCCAAGAGGTGACTCAAGGAACTTTGTTGGATCAAGGATTGCCTTTACACCTTCCAAATAATCAGTAACAGTGAAGAGTTTCTTTGAAAAAACAAAAAGCAAAAAATAAAACCTGAAAGTGGGGCTTTGTTGTGAAAAGAAATAAGTAAAGGTATTAAAAGAGGCAGAGAATTCTAATTTGCCACAGAATGGAAGAGGAAGAAGGGAAGAATAAATTTGAAGAAGAAAAAGAAAACCACACAATTTGAGTCTCTTCTTGAAGAGGAGAAAACTGGTAAGGTAAACACACGTATTGGTAGGAGAGATATTCTCCAGTAAGGGGGAAGAAGAGAAGAGGTGGTGGACGAATCTTGCTTATATCTATCAAGAAAGCCATATGTTAAAGTGATAATAAAAGTATAATCATATCTATAATAATAATTCTTATTATTTTAGCTAGCATTCATATAGCATCTACAGTTTGCCAAGCACTGTGCCTTGCAGTGCTTTTATGTTTGTGGTTTGTTTTTTGGTTTTTTTGGCAATTGGGGTTAAGTGACTTGCCCAGGGTCACACAGCTAGTAAGTGTCAAATATTTGGTCTGAGGTCGGATTTGAACTCAGTTCCTCCTGACTTCAGGGCCTGTGCTCTATCCACTGTGCCACCTAGCTGCCCCTTTTACAGTGTCTTTTTTACAAATATTTTTCTTGTTTTTACAAATACTTTACAAATTTTTTAAAAGAAATATTATCTCATTTGATTCTCATAACAACTGGGTGGCTATTATCATCCCCATTTGACTGTTAAGAAAACAAGTTATGACTTTTAAGAACCCTGTTGTCTTCCTAGGGTATGTATCCAAGACGTGACAGAGACCCTCCCAGGATTGGTAAAAAACAGTCTACTACTAACCACTTCTGAATATTCATACGGACATAATTGAGCCTATCAGAAGGAACCTAGAATGACTTCCTAAAGATTATGAATTCTTAAGCAAGAAACTGAAGATGATAAGGACATAATGTTTTCCTCACTATTACCTATTAAAGACAAATGATGTAGAAAGGAAAAGCAAATTTTGGAAGTGAACAGCTGGCTAAGAAGATGGTGTCTTGGGAATGGATTTGGATTTCATGAGGAAGGCTTAAAATTTGGAATAACAGACTCCTCACTAGGGATGGAGAACACTTGACAAAGGCTAGTAAGAATGTATTTGCCTGGTATCTTGTAAATCTAATCAAAAAGGCTTTAAGCTGTGAGGGATGAGGGGAGGGATTAAACTGCCTCTGTATCTCTACCAAGCTAGATAAAAGAGTAGATACCAAAGAGCAGATACAAGGAAGGAAGAAAAGATATTGAAGCACCTAGAAGTTCACCTAGAAGGAGGAAGAAAAAGTCCAAGAAAAAGTGACTATTAAAATTCATGACCTTAAATGTCTGTACACAAATGAACAAAATATAGGTAGCAAACAAGGTGACCTTGAGGTCTGAACACAAGCAATTTTATTTGACTTCATAAATATCAGTGAGACTTGGTGGGATGAGACCTATGACTACAATCTGGCTCTGGATGGATATATCTTATTTAAAGTAAACAAGATTAGGTTTAAAAAGGGAGGGGGACAGGATGAGATAGCACTGTATATTAATAAGAAATATTCATGTGAGGAAATTCAGAAATCAGGAATCATAAGGATGGTGAAGAGCTGTGGAAACATTTCAATTTTATCTTAGGAGTATACTGTAGAACATATGGAAAGACAGAGGAAATAGGCTAGGAATTTATGAAACTGACCATAAATAAACTTGTTTTTGAGGTATGACACAATAGTGATGGAGGATTTAATTTACCCAGCATATATATACTGGAGCACTGTTTCTCTCTACCAAAAGCAGAGCAGCTTCTTGACTTGCCTTAATGATCATTTCATATTTCTCAAGATGTTGTTCAGTCATATCCAACTCTATATAATCCTGTGGACTTTTGTCGATGGGGTTTTCTTGGCAAAGATATACTTTGCCATTTCCTTCCCCGGTATGTCCCCATTTTACAGATGAGGAACTGAGGCAAATAGGGGTTAAGTGATTTGCTCAGGGTCACACAACTAGTAAGTTTCTGAGGTCAGACTTGAACTCAAATCTTTATGACTCCAAGTCTGGTGTTCTATCCACTGTACCACCTAGCTTCCCTTTCACAAGATGTAGAAACCAACAAAGTGAAATTCTATTCTGGATCTATTCTGGACCAAAAGGGAATAAGTTGCCGGGGTGAAAGTAATAAGGGGCGGAACAAGAGTGGGAAGAAAAGGGACTGCTACATCTAAGAATGTATGATAAAGGGGAGGAGAACTGGGCATAATCTGACATGCACCTGAGATTTTGGGAGGATAGATTTTGAAGGAGTCAAAGAAAGGATGAGTAGAATGTAATGGACAAAAATTCTAAATTCTAGAGGGTTAGCAGTTAGAAAAAATTCTAATGCAATTTCAAAGACAGAAAGAGAAACAATTCTGTTATCTAAAGAGCCTTGGATGTATATATAGCAATTTTATTAACCTACTTAGATTTTCAAAAGACATGTATAGAAGATGGGAGCAAGGATAAGATGAATACATAAGTGAGGCATAGCGTTGCAAGAATAATGTCAGGAGTGCTAAAATTTACAATGAGCTGAAGCATGGAAGATAAAACTAAGGACAATAAAAGAGATTTTTAAAAAATTAAGCAATTTAAGTGCATATCTATCTGGCTGCAACTGCATATCAAAAGACCAGGCATGCAGTTAGTTTGATAGAAGCAACAGATTTTGCCACTTGGGCTTAGTTTCTATTTGATCCTTTTTTCTGCCCACTCAGCTACATGGAAGGGAGAAAGACACTTAGAGTATTAAAATTTAGGGAACCCTTAATCCCACAAATGTCTGGTAGTTATTGAGAAAAATAAACATTACCTGTTTTGATTTTTTTTTCCTTCTCCAGCTCACATGTCCTGTTTTATAGTTTTGTTTGTTGTTGTTGTTGTTGTTGTCCAGTCATTTCAGTTATATCCTTCTCTTTGTGAGCCCATTTGGAGTTTTCTTGGCAAAGATACTGGAGTGGTTTGCCATTTTCTTCTCCAGCTCATTTGAGAGATGAGGAAACCGAGACA